GGTTGGCTTGAGAGATCTCTAATTCAGTGATTGCTAGCTCTTTAGAGTCTGCCTCATTTTCTAGAGTGTCAATCTGTTGAGATGATGTTCCAACATCTGCTTGGACATCAGTCCCCTTCTCAAAGAGTGAACCATTGACTTTGGTTCTGGAGTTAACATCCATAAGTTTTTTTATCAGCAGAGTAACCCATAAACATCCATTATTCTCTTTGAGGGAGTTGATAAAAGCCTTTGATTGACTTCAAATATTTGATTTTCTTTGCTAAAGTACACCTAGGTCATTTTAGAAAAATCATCAACAACCACATAGACATGCCTCTATCCACCAACATTCTCACTTTGCATTGACCACATTAGATCCATAAAAGGAAGTTCTACAACTTTATCAGAAGTATGATGTTGCAACTTCTTGTGTGACATCTTAAATTTATTTTCCTTGGACATAAAACATGTTGATGAGAAAATAGTTTATTATGGTACCCAAAGATATCAACTGTCTTTGGACCTAAATTCCTCTTATCATTAGTGGTAAACACATTCTACATTGATGGGATTTAACTTCAGAACTTGGTCTCATAAATGACTTATGACTATCATAATAGTTCTCAGACATTCAATAAAGAGAACATCATTCATCCATATCTCCAACACACTCAATTTCACCTTTTGGCCCCCATCACCAAAAGAAACAATACTGGTAGCATGAGACTTAAAGATTACCAGATACTTCATTCCTCCAGTTACGTGGTTGGAACAACCACTGACAAACTTCTAATCCTCTTTGTTGAAGTTCCAAGAGAGGTATGAGCAATAAGAAATAAGAACCCTCTTGAGTTTTAACCACTGCTTAGTTAACCTTAGGTTGAACTGAACCATATGAGATCATATATGACCAACATTACCACATAAGTGACAACTTTAGTGCACGAACTTGTCTTTAGCTTGAGTAGTTTTGATGTCTAGAATGATGTTGAGACATTTCTATTGACATCATTGATTTAGCCTGCCTTTTGGAGGAACCATAGTTCTTTGAATGAAGTAGTCAGCTCATCATACGATATTCCTTTAACAAGAACCTACATTAGAAATCCATCTTCCAGAAATAAAAATAACATACTTGGTAGGATCACCTCCCCCATCAGACCAATAAATAGAAAACCCCTTAAGATGTTTCTTGAGAAAGGTAGGGCATATATCCAAAATCTTCAAATTCATGACACTATGCCTTTACTTGGATTTACCTTTTCATTTTTTCCAACTTTCCTTTGAGCAACATAGTCTTGATGATGTTAGGACTAATGTTATTGACATTTGACGTTGACCTTCTATCCACTCTCCTCAAAACCTGTTTGAATTTCCTTACTAGAATACACAAGTATTAGATAAACATTCAGAGGTTCCAGGGAACATTGCTCCTCTTTATCCACAGAGCTGGAGACAAAAGGTATGTTATTGTTCTTCTATTCAGATCTTCCATTTTAGTAAGCTCAAAACTTTTGAGAGACCAAAAAACATTTGTTATTGATATCCTAAGCTTCTTCAATGGCTGATACCTTATTGTCAAATCTCTTGGGTAGAGACCTGAGTGTCTTCTTCCTTACCAGCCTTTCTCTTGAACTTTTTTATGTGCCTCCATGATTAGTCTTGAGAAACTCTTAACTATCTTTGACCATAACACATGTGTTCATCAGATTAAAGATGGAACTCAACACTTTAGAATTACCAAAATCTAACTCGTACACTTCCTTAGACCAATCCTCTCCCTTCCTTTATCCTTAACAACAAGATTCACCAATCCTGGAAAAATTGCAAGATTTGTTGTCCATTGACATCAAGAATGTTATTATTCTATCCTTCCAAAAAACAAGTAGTATCAGAAAAATTCTCCGTGAAGCTCACCCCATAAACAGACCAAGGTGCCTTCTCTAAATGCCTATTGAAATTTTGGCACTTTAAAATATGGTAATACTGATGTCCCAACATCAGAACACAATAGGAAGGTGCACTCACACTATAAGCATCCCAATCAAAATAAAAAATGGTTTGATTTTTGTTATCTAAGTGGGATCAAAAAGTTCCCTAGTTGGTTGAAGACCAACAATTGCTGCTAGGTCAAAGAGCGTAGGCGTGATCATTCCACATGGTAGGTGAAATGTGTTAGTCGAAGTTTCCCAGAAGAAAATATAAGCAAGCAACATATGAGGGTTATACGGGGGACCAACCCTAAAAATTTATATTAAGTCAAAAATACCCATCTTTTTACATATTCTCTCTTTAATTTGTTGAACCTTATTCAACCGGCTAATGTAAGATTTGTTGGTCGAAGGTGATGACCAAAATACAAGGTTTTTAATAAAGCTTAAACCAAAAGGTTCGTCTTCAAATGTCATAGGTTTTCCATGTGAGAAAATAGGAAAAAAATCCATCATAGCTCGTTGTTTTCTTAGTTGGTTTTGGTAAAGGACCCATAAAAGCATAAATGCTACCAGCAAAAGAGTAAGGAATTAGTATCTGAGAAAACTAGACAACATGTTTATTTTCTTCCATTGGAGGCTTAGGGATGTAAGAGTGGTCGTCTATGACTACGGGATCATTGAGTTCAGCAGCAAATGAGATATGTGGTTGACGTCTTGTGTTGGATCCAGAGGCCATTATTGTTTCTTGAGTGATGCTTAGGTAAGAAGTTGAAGAAATGAAGAGTAAAAAATTACAAGGAAATTTTGAATTTTTCTAAGGCTTTAAGGAAGAAGACGATAGAAAATAAGGGGGGAAATGGTATATATATATATAGCCATATAAAGGGAAATAATTGGGTTTCCCTCTAAAGAATTGAGAAAAATGGCACATCTAAATCTACATGTCATTTAAAGTTATTGGAAAAAAATAAAAATAAAATGATTTTTTAAATTTTCATTTAATTTTGTGGCTCATTAGTATTCTAGGAACTCGGAGTAATGGTGGAAATCTGCATACACGTCAATGACGTGACAATTTGGGGAAAATTGGTCATGATGACTATGATGTGTGTAAACTATCTTGAACAGTGTCGAGCAGTTACTAAAAATATCACCTTTCTTTCATCTATTATGATCGAAATTGACTTTCTTGGAGGGAATATATTAGCTTGAAAAATTTAGATGAAGTATTTGACAAGGGATGATAGTAACCTTGCAGAAAAATGACTAAGTATGAAATCACTTGGTCGTTGACATACTGCTTATGTCGATCAAGAAGGTTCAACTAGCATAGTAAGAATGATTTGGAAGAATCTCCAGAACAAATCCACAAGATTAGGATCACTCTCTCTTCAAAACATGTCCAAAATCTCGAAAAAGAGTTACACTAAGAAAACCTTTGACAGAGTGTCAGGTTCGACACATTATTTAGATGTTGGGGACTTAGCATATTTTCATGCTAAGAGTCAAGTAAATGAAAGGATATCTTGACAATGCTATGGAAGTTAATCAGAGACTCTTATAGGCAGTTAACAAGTCTAAAGGCAATTATCAATGTGACTAATGGTTTGTCGCAATTTTTCAACCAGCAAAGATGCATGAAAACAAATTGGAAGTCCGAAGTAAACGTAAGGAAATGTGTATCGATCACTGAGGAAATAACTGTTGTCGACGTTTACTATTGTAGTAGTATATAAAGTAGGCTCGTGCATGTAATCACGGTCACGAAAATCTCATTTATTCTCTATATAACTAAAGTATGTAAGTTACAAAGTGAAACAGTTTATGAGAAATGTATGAGTCTGTATCCAATTTTTTATTTATGTTAAAGTCTTGTATTTAAAACATTCATGTTAAATGTTATTTATTGTTTATTATCTTTATCAAAAATTTATTATTTGTATCCAGTTAGTGCTTATTCAAATGTTTATATTAATTCAAACCATACACACTTTTCATTCTATCTTTCCTTAACACAAGTTATCCTTGAGATTTTTCAAACTAATCTCTTAAATAAATTAAATTTGTGTTTGTTTACTAAAACATTAATAAACAAATTCACTAAACAATCTAACTATTTTAAATTCAATTTAGTTCGATTAGGCAATTCGGTTGAGTTGAGATGTTTTTTTTTGAGTCCTACTTATTCCTACATATGAAACATTTATTATTGAGAACACTTTTCATGTATCAAGGAATTCATTAATTTTTTCCCTTTAGTTTTACTATTATTTATTATTCTATACTAATAAGGATGGTGAGAAATAGACAAAAGTATTGTCAGATATTAAAGTTTTTATCTTTCTAAAGAGTAAAGGAATAAGAAAAAGGTTAAAAAGGGTAAAACTAGATAAGGGTAAAACTAGATAAGGGTAATGTAGTCAATTTAGTAGGAAGTGTCATTCATAACTACAGAGTCATGAAAAAACATGGAATCATGTTATTCCCTTATTTTTACCCCCCTTCAAACTTTTTCCTGTCTCCATCCAAACCTACTGTCCAACTTTTCTTTCCTATTTCCTCCAAAGCCTAATCCTTCTCTCTCACTCAATCTCTCTCTCCCTCTCTCTCTCTCTCTCTGAAAAACACCAAGAATGAAGAATATTAATATAACCACTAACAAATGATGATGAGGATGAAACAAGTTTGAGTTTGCTTCACCTTTTTAAGGTAAAAAAAACTCTCAGAAATCAAGGCTACTAAAAAAACCACATCTATATAGATATATAGATATATATAGCTTAGAAAATCTTTCCAATTATATTGTTGAATGAACACTTACTTCACTTTACTGTACTAATCCCATCAATCTCATCACATTCTCAATCTTAAAAAAATTCTCTTCTTTCTGCTTCATCATTTTCAGGTAACTTTCTCAATCCTAAAATAAACAAAATCTATAACATATCAATTAACCCTTTCATTCTTATCTCAGGAACCCTAGTACATCCATCAAAGAGATAAATTCACAAAGTTTTCACCAAGTTCAAAGCAATTAACCTTGGATCTGCAAAATATAAAGTTTAACAAAACTTTTATATACCAATGGATTCAATTCAACAATTTATACAGACATGTAACAATGAAAACAGCTGCAACTTCATGAATACTATAAGCAACAACAACACAAGCTTAACAACCACAACAACAACAACAGCAAGTGGAAGCTCTTCTTCATCTGCAGCTTCAACCATAACATCCAACACACCAAACAGTAGCAGCCGGTATGAGAATCAGAAACGCCGTGACTGGAACACTTTTGGTCAGTACCTCAAGAATCATCGTCCTCCTCTTTCTCTCTCTAGATGCAGCGGTGCACATGTGCTTGAATTTCTCAGGTGAAGTGCATGTTCATATATAAATCACCATGCATCCATTCATTCAATTGCATAAGCATAACAGTTTTTTATATTGCAGAAAATCACAGCCTTACACATGGAGGCAAGTTTTGATAGTACATAAAATCAGTCATATTTCACATCTTTGTGACATGAAAAATCTTGATATGATACGATTACTCAATTTTCAGTCACAGACCTTTTCTTATAAAATATTTTAAAATTGTGGCGGCTTTTGAAAAATGATATAGTTATTGCGGTTACTGTGATGCGAATTGAGACTATATAATTTCTTTTTGTTGTTTGGTGTCTAGGTATTTGGATCAATTTGGGAAAACAAAAGTTCACACACCAATTTGTCCATTTTATGGGCATCCAAACCCTCCAGCACCATGTCCATGTCCTCTAAGGCAAGCATGGGGAAGCCTAGATGCACTGATAGGCCGTCTTCGAGCGGCCTTTGAAGAAAACGGAGGAAAACCAGAAACAAATCCATTTGGTGCTCGAGCCGTGAGGCTTTACCTTCGCGAAGTTCGCGATCTTCAATCCAAAGCAAGAGGGATTAGTTATGAGAAAAAGAAGAGAAAACGTCCACCACCACCACCACCGCGGCCACAGCAACAAGTTCCACCACCACAAGGTGCAAGTGCAGCTCATTAGAGATCAATCCAATTCCAAATTCTCTCTCTCTCACTCACTTCACTCTCTTATCTTAATATCTTAATGCTTTTTTCATAAAATTTATATTTAGGGTTTTTTCTCTTTCTTTTGTTTAATAATATGTGAAAGCTGCTATGATCTGAAAAAACATATAGAGTGTTTTGTCTTTGGATCCTGTTTGGTTGCTGTACACAGAGATGAAAAAGTGTTATAAAATGTAATATATCATTTATCTGCTTTTAAAGATATTGCAGACTGTCTTGTGTTTGTGTACTGCTAGTAGAGTGCTAGTGGTCTGAAAAGTTGAAGCTATTGAGTGAGAGTGTCAATGAATATACATCTAGTACAATATCTTTGTGATTCTCACAATCACAACCATGGCATTATTCATATATATTTATATCAATCTTTTCAATTTGTACAACTTCAATAACTCTAACTTACACTTGCAGCAGATTATATGCCTTTAATCATATACATTATATAATTTATAATTCTTTTTTGATGAATTGAATTTAACAAAAATTGTTAGCAATTTGATTCACCACAAATGGAGGTTAAATTTGAATTTTGAACCTACATTTATAGTAAGTAGTCACTTCCATATACATAATGATGGATGGGTTTGAGTGTTTCACATATTTGTATATTTATAGGATATGATATGAAATGATTATTTGTTCATATATTCCTTCTTTTTTTGTGTGTGGAAAGAGAATGATAGAGGTTTTATTTTAATATAATATGATGATGATCATAATAAGTTCTGTTTGAAACTGACAAGCTTTATTGATTTCTCTTCCCATTGAAAGATGAGACTAACAGTTGACCGTTAAATTTCATTGATGATCATCATACAGATTCATGTGTGTGTAGCAGTAGTGCTGTCATTTCAAATTATCAAAAGGAAGTTGCCAAATAAATTTTAATGGCAGACAGTGTAATTCATTCATAAATGACTAAACCTTCAATTATTACTTTTTATTGCTAACTTCAATTATTATTACTAGTTTTTTTTGTTAATCTACTTGATTCATCTTCATTCATTTTATGTTACTACCATGAAAAAATATATAAGTCATGATCATTTTGAATCTTATATTGTATTCTAGTACTTCTTATATTTTCCTTGTAATTTTTTCTTTTATAATAATTAACAAGCAAATAGAATTTTTTTTTTTAAAATGATACACTAAAACTGGAATACTAGGAATATTTCGATCCAAATACATAGTCATAGGAATGTGGAAACAATATTCAGCATAGTAGAAGCCAATCTCAATTATTCAATTATTTGTATATGTATTTTCTAGCCAAGCTTAATCATGGGAATACTTATATTCTTTCTTCGAAAAAGCAATATAGTGTTCAACGTAACTTCCACCACAATGAAGAACCCTACTACAAATGATATATCCCAAATTGATCACATATGCTTGAGTGCCAAATCAAGGAAAGTCTCTCAAGACCACTCACTACCTTAAGGGTTAACGTCCTCTCTATTTCTTCTTCTTCTCTATCAAACTTATTGAAGGCCACAAGTCACTCCCAAGAAAAAATTTGACATCGAACCCATAATCAAATCACATTCCTACATAATCAAATGGTCCAATTAAAAGATAAACCAAATAATCAATTGACATCGAACCCATAAAATCCTCCAAACCCAACCACTTGCAAAATCTAAATCATAAAAGCTTACTAACTTCACAAGAAAAAAAATAAGTGATCCAAATCGGTATTGATAAGGAAACAAAGAGGAAAATCCAAATTATGAATTCCCACTAAAATTCTAAGCTTAGATAGTTACATCTTTGAAGGTAAACTATTCAATAGCAATTTCCAGACAAAAATTAAAATTTTACTAGGTACCTTCTAATAACATATAATTATAAGTTGTTCCTATAATTTAGGTGTAACCAACCATTCCTATTAATATGCATATGATTTGTTATAGTTTGAATCATTCATGTCTTGATGATAGGAATCGGCATAAGAGCTCCCTTAAAATTAGGAATTAGTTATACAATCGTGTATCTTTTGTATATATAAATAGTCAGCATTTATGACTAGAATAATATATTGGAATATCATTCTCTTCATGATGTTCAGAGCGTAAAAGCTTAAAAGCAATTTTTTTTCCTCTCAATTTTTTTTCTTTCTCACGATCCTTACTATGGCTTCACCTTCTGACACTGAAATGACGTTCAATGTGTCATCGCCAGCAGACAAACTGATCATTTTGAATGCTGGTTCTCAACTCTTCATCAAACTCGATGGAGACAATTACCCTGCCTGGATAATCCAGTTCATGGATCTTTTAACAGGCTATATTGATGGAACTAAGCCATGTCCATCAAAACAACTCGAGACCAATACCACGGCTGTCAATCCAGCCTTTACTCATTGGGTTCGACAAGATCAATTGATTCTACATGGAATCGTATCATCTGTGGCTGCAACAGTAGTCACTCACCTAGGAATTGTCAAAAGTTTCAATCAAGCACGGGAGATCCTAAAAATCATGTATGTTGGCCGCTCAAGAGTACGTATCATCGCACTCAAACAATGAATTTCCAATTTCAAAAAAGGAAACCAATTGATGGCTACATATCTTCAAGGAATAAAGGCAATTTCGGATGAAATCTCAATCATTGATCATCCTCTTGATGAAACTGACCTTGTTATTCACACTCTCAATGGTTTGAGTGTTGAGTATCGTGAAATTTCCGATGCACTTAGAAGTAGAGAAAGTCCAGTTTCCTTTGCTGAACTTCATGAGAAACTGATCGACTTTGAAATAATTCATCACCAAGCTGATCCACTTGCAGTTGATAATGTGATTGCAACTGCCAATGCAGTCAAAAGAAACAAAAACTATCACAACAAAAACCACAGCAACCATAGCTCTTCTCCAATTCCGAGGAATGGTGAAAATAAGGTGGTCTGTCAGTTTTGTGACAAGGTTGGTCACACTGCTAAAACCTGCTACAGAATTAAGGGATTTCCGAAACGAAATGGCCATAAACCAACAACGAACATTGCACAGAATTAGGCTGCAACACAACATCGTAACTGGATCATGGACACTGGAGCGTCTCATCATATTGCTCAAGACTTGCAACAGCTCACGTCAAAAATCCCTATCCTGGAGCAGATCAGGTAATTGTTAGTGATGGAACAGGTTTGAACATTACTCACACTGATAACTTTGTTATTAATACTTCTGTCAAACATCTTCATCTTAAAGAAGTCTTATGTGTGCCTAAAATTCAATCTAACATTTTGCCTATTTCCAAGTTATGTCAATCTAATGGTTGTTCTGTTAAATTTATTCCAAATCATTTTGTTGTCAAGAACTTGAACCCGGGTCAACCACTGCTTCAAGGACCCCGTAAACAAGATCTTTATTATCTATCCCATGCATTTAATCCATCCATTCCACCACAAGCATTTCATTCAAACATCCACTCTACAAATACATGGCATCATAAATTAGGATATTCTTCTTTCAAAATAATAAAGCATATGGCGCACAATCATCATCTACCGATAAAGCTTCCAGTCTCACATGAGTGTAGTTCTTGTCACTATGCAAAAAGCCACAAGCTTCCTTTTTCAAATCATCATCTCACAAGCAGCAAACCTTTGGAACTTTTGTACTCTTATGTTTGGGGCCCAGCTCCCGTTAGATCCTTAGATGGTTATTTATACTATTTAATCATCGTTGATCATTTTTCCAAATATGTATGGTTGTATCCAATGAAACATAAGTCAGATGTCTCCTCTCTTTTTGTTCAATTCAAGTCCATTATTGAAAAATACTTTAATTTGCCGATCATTTCTCTTTTCATTGATAATGGAGGCGAATTTATCAAATTAAAATCGTTTCTTGCCAATAATGGTATTTCTCATTTAACCACACCACCACACACACCTGAGGTAAATGGCACAGCAGAGAGGTGACACCGGAATGTTGTTGAAACTGGTCGTTCTCTTTTGCATCATACTAATTTACCCTCTCAATTATGGTCATTTGCTTTCACCACTGTTATGTACCTTATTAATAGGATGCCTAAACCAAACATTAATATGGTCTCACCATTTGAAGTATTGTTCAAAAGCACACCATATAATAATAAACTTCATTCCTTTAGATGCTTGTGTTTTCCCTGGCTAAAACCATCTATGCAAAATAAGCTCCAAACCAGGTCTAAACCTTGCATATTCCTAGGATATTCCATGTCACAACATGCATACTATTGTCTTGAACCATTGTCAAATAGGATATATGTATCCAGACATGTAAATTTTGTGGAAAATTCATTCCCATATCAATCCATAATTAACTCATCGTCTACTTGTCCTCTAATTCCATCATCAGACTCTGTTGTACATAGTATTATTCATGTTAGCCAAGATCAAAGTTCAGCTCCGGTACTAAACCAGTCCCTAGCACATGAGTCATATATGTTTGTGCCACCCGTTCTCCCGTTAACAGTATCCAGTCCTGCACCAGCCATTGTACCGAACCAAACACGAGTACCCTTGTCATTTGTACCTAGATGTAAACCTACATCTGAATCATCAGTCCTGGTATCGAGTCCTATAACAGTTCCTGCCTCGAATCCTACACCAGTCCCTAAGTCAATGCTTCCTATTGAGTCATCTGTAACAATAGAGATACCAGTGACTAGTGATAATTTAACAAGTTCTACCACTAATAATGCACACGATCAGGTCCAACCTTCACAAACAAATAATCCAGTTCAACACGCTCCTATTGTAACAAGGTCCCAAAATAATATATCCAAACCCAAGAAGTTATTTACTGCCACTAAACATGAGTTACAGGAAAATATTGAGCCATCTACCATTACTCAAGCATTTAAAATACCACATTGGAGAGATGCTTATTCTTCTGAATTTAATGCGCTCGTGAACAATGGTACTTGGACCTTGGTTCCACGTAAGCTCACACTAATTTAGTTGGATGTAAA